AAAAAAACTGTTTTGTTTTCGTGTTACAGAGATTAAAGTTCTGTGAATCTAGGGTTTGTCCTTGTCACAGACGCTAATTATCTGTATGAACTCTGCATTTGGTGTATTATTGTTTTCTTCATAGTCAGGTATTTTATTATATTAAAGGTACTGTTTTTTGCAGCTTTTGAACCAGATTTTTTTCTAAACGATCCTTGCTTTCAGTATTTATTTAACGACGAAGGGCAAGAACAGGCGAGTGGTGAGATCAGACAAAACACAGATGACATTAACAATGATGTCCAGAACAATGGTCAATGTCCTTCTAAAGGAAACAAAGGTAGCGTGCCTGAAGTGGGGATGAAGTTTACAAGCATTGAAGAAATTCGAGAACACTATCTGGCTTATGCTCGAAGTGTAGGATTTCCAATGCGGACTAGGACAACTCGCAAAGCCAAAGATGGAACTCCTAGAAGTGTTACATTTGTGTGTAATCGACAAGGAAATAAAAAGAGCAAAACACAAGATGTGTTCCACCCTTTTTGCTTTTTGCTTTTTGTGTAAAGTATGTAACAAGTATGATAACTTTCTCTGAGTTCCCTGCACATAAACTAATGTAAACCTGATGTAACTCTGTCTTCACATACATTAAGTCTCTGTGAAGTCTGTGACATAGACAGTTATTCTATGTGAGCACCAAGAAATCTAATGTATGCGTTTTAACTTTGTTTTTAGCTATACAAGACCCCCAGATATGTGATGAGATTCTGAAGATGGTGTATGTGCATAACGTTAAGTAACTCTGTCGTCACATACATTAAAACTCTGTGTAATGGGTAAAATAGACAGTTAATCTCTGGGAGGGATCTGAAAGTAAATCTGTAATTCAATCATAAACTAAGGTAAATCATTCATCACACACAGTAACAGATTGTGCATTATCAAGTAGAAATTCATGATGATAAAAGCCCCATTACAAAAAAATCAAAAAAAATCTAAAGTGCATAACATTATGTAACTCGGTCACATACGTTGAAGCTCTGTGTAACAGGTAAAATAGACGGTTATTCTCTGTGAGGGCTCTGAAAGTAAATTTGTAATTCAGTCATAAACTAAGGTAAATCATTCATAACACATAGTAACAAATTGTTCATTAACAAGTAGAAATTCATGATGCTAAAAGCCCCATTACAAAGCTTTCAAAAAAATCTAAAGTGTTTCCCCAAAAAATACATTACAAAACACAAAAACCATTACAAAGAGTTTCACAAAAATTAAAGATCCCTAAAATTGTAAATTAAATATTGGTTGTTTTCCTTCCACGCCATAACCTAGTTGCAAATTGACATCAGAAATCAGCCATGTGTTCAGAACTGCAGTCCGGACTTAATGGTAAGCCAAACAACAAAGACTCTAGAAATGCTAGCACCATCACTCCAGAATTGTCATACCTGCAAGGGAAAATAATATTAAAATAAGTAGGGAGGTATGATTTTCACCACCATTGGAGTACCATAACGAAGTAATGGCGAACAAACCTAGAGTCCTGTTGCAGAATATCATTGACAAGAATTGTTTCCCATTCCTTCTCCAAAGTGTTTGCACCCACACCCTTAACCGTGCGAAGTAGGGGGTATTCTTCTTACTACTTGAACGTAAAATGAGAATTTCAGCCCTTTCAAGGAGTCATGAGATACAATTCACAGTAAGCAATCAAAAATAACAAGCAGACATCTTCTTTCACAGACAATAATGTTATATGAAGTTCAGATAACAGAACTTAACCATCTATGCCATACAATTCACACCATAAGCCAAAATAACAAGCAAACCTTTTTCACAAACAATAATCTTATATGAAGTTCAAATACTCTAAAAACCATGCTTCTTGATTAACCCACATCAACTTGATCACCTTGCACACCCAATTTCAAAGTCTTTTTCTTTGTATTGCTAAGCGATGAACGTGCTGGTAGAGTTAACTGCCCAGAATGTTAAAATTCAGCACTAAATGTAGTAAAGAATAACTTTTTTAGAGAATGCTGTGAACTTGGTTCCCCTGGTTGCTATCTTCTGCTAAGTTTTGAAGAAATCAATTTTTTTAAAAAGAAGCAAATCTTAAGTATATCATAAACTGGATCCTTGAACTGCCCATGATTATTACTTTTTAAACCATAATTAGGGCATATGGTCTTTGATACTTCGGAACTGTTCGAAAATCATTAATTACTACGGAGTATTTACTAAAGACGCTAAAATTCCAATGTAGAATAAGATCCGAGATCCGAACCCCCCTAGGATTTATATCAATTTTAGAAACAGAGAGAGATAAAGAACGAGACCAAGGAAAGGAAAGTTAGCGTCAGTACCTGTTCGGAGGGGTGGGGCTGCCGGCGCTGGAGTTAGAGGGGTGGGGCTGCCGGCGTTGGAGCTGGAGGGGTGGGGCTACCGACACTGGAGCTGGAGGGGTGAGGTTGCCGGCGTTGCTATGCTCTCGACTAGGAGTTGTCCGAATTGGAGTTGTCTAGCGCTGCAATTCCGGCTATGCCGGCGAATTGGAGTTGCCGAAAAAAGAGAGATGAAAAGGGGGAATTTTGGGGAAAAAGGCAAGAGATGAAAAGACTAAGAAAAAAAGAAAATTGAAAAAAAAATTAAATATATTGGGTGACATGACAAGGGGTGCCGGTGCCCTCGTTAGCATTCTCCTATAATCATACTCCTTAAATCATAGAAGAAGAGAAAAGAAGAAGGTACCAAAGGAAATTCAAGCAACTTCGCTGAATGATCCGCGGATCACCCGTTCATCGATACATCGACCCGACCCGTCTGTCCTCGATCCTTTCCCTCGAGATTGTAGCATTGAATTGCTATAAAGCTTCACCTTGCGAAGAAATTGGCCGGTGGCGGGAGCTGCTGCGGTCCTGTAATTCGACTGAGCCGGGCAATTTTCCCGGCATCTGATTTCGAAGGTCAGTTCAGCTCTGGGAATTACCGCTTATGGAAACTAGTCTGTATCTCTGGCTCCTGAATCACAACCCTAGCCTTGTATCTTAATAACGCTAGGGTTGGAGCTTCATCTGTTCTGTAAATAGCGTATTCAAAATTGGCTCGTATGCAATTAGATAATGAGGAATTTGAATATAGTATGCCCCGTAGCAAGTCCCCGAATTCGTGGGTTACTCAAAGGGTTGTGTTCTTTGGCCCTAATCGTCTTATTATACAACGGAAGAGATGTCTTGAGAAAGCCACGCTTTCTGGAGTCTTCTCCTTCGATTGGGTTGGCCTCAAAAAGCAGGTTTTATGGTCGGTCAAACCATGTGGGAGTGATCGGTCGCCGAATGGTTGAAGTGGATGTGAATTCTTCAATTAATGATCCCTGCGATTTGTCTGTTGAGAATCCTGGCTTCTGTAGTGGATTAAGTGATCATAGGGGATATGAGAGTGGTTGTGATTTCTTGAAAGCTCACCCAAAATGCACATCTGGAGGGTTCTTTGATTACATAAAGTTCTATTACTGTGGTTGCAGAGAAAGTGCATGGGCTTACTTGGCATTCGCACTCTGGCTTGTTACCCTTTTTTATCTTTTGGGTAACACGGCAGCGGATTACTTCTGTTGTTCCTTGGAGAAACTCGCGAGCCTGCTGAAGCTGTCACCGACAGTTGCAGGTGTAGCTTTGCTCCCCCTGGGGAATGGTGCTCCCGATGTCTTTGCTAGTATTGCAGCTTTTGTAGGGACAGGTGCTGGTGAGGTTGGTCTTAATAGTGTTCTGGGTGGGGCTGTTTTTGTAACTTGCATTGTTGTTGGGGCTGTTTCTCTCTGCGTGGCTGATCAGTATGTTCAGATTGACAGGAAATGCTTTATTAGGGACATTGTGTTTTTCATTGCAACTCTCTTGTCCCTTTTGTTGATCTTGATTTTCGGCCGGGTAAGTGTGCTAGTTGCAGTGGCATTTTTGTCCATTTACATCATTTATGCTTTTGCTGTTGCTGCTAATGAGATCTTAAGGAAACATGCCAGAAGGTTGAAATTGGATTCTATCACCCCACTGCTTCCCGTGAGAGGCACTATATTTTCTCAAGGAACAGAAGAGGATTACTCCATATATACCCCTTTTATCGACCTTGAGACAGAAACCAGTGATGGTGAACAATCACATAGCTCCCTTCCACAGTGGATGTGGTCATCAAATCTGGCAATCTATTCAAACCAGACCATTTGGGTGCCTGACAGTGAGTGGCCTTTATGGGGTTGGAATGACCAGGACATTGAAGTTGATGAACAAACCTCATTTTCCTGGTCAAAACTATGGTCTATACTGGAGATTCCAGTGGCATTGCCAAGACGGTTAACGGTTCCCTTAGTTGCAGGAGAAAGATGGTCAAAGTTCTATGCAGTAGCCAGTGCATGTCTGGCCCCGGTTCTTCTGGCATGCCTCTGGTGTACACAAGACAACATGACTAGCAATAGCAAACTCGTGTCGTTTATCATTGGTGTTTCTGTTGGTTGCACTCTTGGCCTTCTTGCATTCAAGTTCACAAGATCAGACCGCCCACCTCACAAGTTCTTGTTTCCATGGGTCGCGGGTGGTTTTGTGATGAGCATTGTCTGGTTTTACATGATTGCAAATGAGCTTGTTGGGCTGTTGGTTGGACTAGGGGTGATGATGGGTGTGAACCCTTCCATCCTCGGGTTGACTGTTTTGGCATGGGGAAACTCAATGGGCGATTTGGTTTCAAATGTTGCCTTGGCAGTTAATGGCGGGGATGGCGTGCAGATTGCATTTTCTGGATGCTATGCCGGTCCAATGTTCAATATACTAATTGGTTTGGGAATCTCAATGGTCATCGGAGCCTGGTACGAGAAACCCAGTCCCTACACACTCCCATTGGACCAAAGCTTGTATTTCACAATGGGTTTCCTCATGCTCGGACTAGCGTGGGCCCTCGTTGTGCTTCCTAGAAACGATATGCGCCCTAACAGAATGCTTGGGGGTGGACTACTACTCATCTATTTGATATTTCTATCTGTTAGGCTGAGCAGCGCAGTGGGAGTCCTTTCGATATCTGGTCTTCACTGATCAGATTTAGCTATGTCATGTAAGAAATGTTGCGAAATCTCCAGATTATATAAAACTTTCCTGTTCTTCGACTTTGCCTTGATGTATGCATGTATTTGAACTAGTAGTATCTCAATGAAATCTCAGGTACAAAATTTCAAATTCTAACTCGCCCCTCTCTCCCAAAGTAATTTTCTTGATTGGGTTTGGCACAAGCTTGAAGAAAAGAGTGAAATTAGGCATTTGGAATTGATGAGCAAAAAGAAATATGGTGAGCCCCAAAAAGCTTTCCAAAAAAAGAAATTGGAAGCTTTTTTTGAGGCGTCCCTGAAAAAGAAAACAGAAAGGTTAATTTGGGACCACTAAATTACGTATGCTGTCTAAATGCATCTTTGTGATATCATGTTGGGGTGTAAACGGATATTAATCGGATCGGATGTTCTATTACCAAATTCGTATCCGTTTATTTTTGTCGGATCTCGAATTCGGATACGGGTCTGACGGATACTGAAAATCAAAACCGTATTCGCATATGTCGGATATCGGATATATCTGTATTCATTTCCAATTTTTAAAATCAAATTAAACAATACTTTAATTTTAAATTAGATTAAAGTTAAACTATTGGTAAATCAACTAATATTTGTTATGGGATAATAATTTCCTTTGTTTTCATTATTTATGATATCTTACGATAACTTTATATAATAAAAAAATATACACAGCACAGATATACACATATTTTTATATGTTTGTACATATTTTTATGTGTATAAACATTTATTTTGTACTCCGTATGATGGGTGTATTCCACCCACGACCGGTCAAAGGAGAAGACCAATTAGTTGACCGGTCGATCTCGAGAGTTTTGGAAGGGAGACTTAAATAATCAGCAAATTGATATGTAATCGGCCCAAAGATGACCGGTATACTTCATGAAAACGTATACCGGTCAAACTACTTTGTCACCCTATTTATTCCCTAACTTCGATGAATTCATCCCTCGGAGATTACCCGGTGTAGTTTCTAGGGTTGGAAAGTGTCGGCATAAGAGAATCTAAAAGGGCTTGGCGTGTAGCGACCCATGTCAGTGGAGGATAGCTGGAGATGCTGGAGAAATCCATCCAAGGCACTACTTGACAAAGGGAATAATTCCCCTCGCAAGGCGACAAGGCAGCTCAAGGACGAAACCAGTCACCTCGCACCACACCAGCAGTGTGCCCCCACGTGGGCGCACGTGGTCCTGTCCCCCCGAACCTAGTATAAATAAGGCTGTAACTCTCAGAAATGGGGATCCGAATTCATTCTATCTAAACTCCCTTGTAAAAGCGCCCGTGCATTCTTACTTTACCAAATCAAGCAAAGTATCCTAGACCCGGTCTAGTGTAGTTTGACTGGTCAAGTAATTTACACTATCATTTTTGGCGCCACCCATGGGACCGTTAAGGTTTCTTCTCCTCTAAACACAAACCTACCCACAAAAACACCACTCAAAATGTCTTCAAGCCAGCAAATGAACGCTACTTCCGTTCAGGTGCAAGCCACCGCTGAGGGGGTGAGCATCCCCATGGTTGCTAGCCAACCGGCTGTTTCTGCTCCCACGCTGCCGATGGGTCTGAGCTCGGTCCCAACACCCGACATGGTCAGCCCGTTCACGATCCCCGTCCCTTCCGCTGGACCAAGGGTCACATTCCCACCAAGCATGACTCAGTTCATGAACGATTCGGCCAACCTGCAGGCCATCCAGGGCTTTGGCCAGGTCATGGCCATGTGCCAACAGAATGGGGGGATGCCTTTTCTCCCTGGTATGTTCCCGTTCGCTCTTCCAGGTGCGGGAACCATGCCCCTACAAGCTCCAATGGCGGTGTCTCCCTTCCAGACGCCGGTGCCGCAGCCATCACCTTTCCAGCCGCAGCTGGTCAGCACCGTAGCTCCTGTCAACCTGACTAGCGCGCTTAACGCTGCAGGGCCGTCGCGTCCCCCGCAAGGTACGAATCCACAAAACACCCCTGATGGTCATTGCGTCTCAGTTGAGAGTGATGACGGCGAGTGGGACATTCCGAGGGCCCACAAGAAGAAGAAGGGAAAAAACATCCGGCCAGCAACTTCCCGAAACTCCGCCTTCGAAAGGCTGGGGGATAGGGAAGAAGGCCAGAGGAAGTCGGCCAAACTGAGGCTGGGGCAGAGCGTTGCCCATGTCAGCGCATTCGCCCGGTTAGGCGAGGTGAGGGAGGCCGAGCCTGCCCGCACCCAGCGCTCCCGGTCTAACCGGCAGGAGCCAGCGAGGACGAGGGCCTCTCGTCAAGAAGAGGAAGCAGAGAGCCAGCCCAGGTTACCAGTGGCGAACCGGTTAACCGTCCCAAATGACCGCGTCCAGCAGATGGAGGCGAAGCTTGAAAGGCTGGAAAAGAAGGTTGGGGGAAAGAATGACCGGGACAAACCCCTGGCGGGGTCCCCATTCACCACAAGGGTCCACCTGACACCTTTCCCGCGAAAGGTCAAGATCGACGCCCTTAGATTCACCGGGAAGGAAGATTCGGAAAATCCACCTGGATTTTATCAACCAAAGTGCAACCATGAACGGCTGCACAGACGAAGAAAAGTATCTGCTTTTCTTCCAAACCCTGCGGAATCGAGCTACTGAATGGTTCAACAAACTTCGCCCAGGAAGTATTGATTCATTCAGTGACTTGGCCTCAAAATTCAAGGCCAAGTTCCAGGAGAACTGTACTAAGAGGAAGAAATTCACCTATCTTAGTACAGCCGGGCAAAGGGAGTCTGAGAACCTCACTCAGTTCCTTACCCGGTGGAAGGAAGAGGTAGACAAGGTGGAAGAGATGGATGACAAGACCGTCTTGTCCCTTCTCTTGAATGGCTTACGTGCTGGGGAACTATACAAGGAGTTCTGCCGGAAGACCCCGGCCACGTACCAAGAGGCCTACCACACTGCCTGGGAGTTTGCTGAGGCTGAAACTCAACTCCGGGCGAAGAAGGAAGCTGAGCATGGTTACAAGCCCAAGCCAGTGCAAGTCAAGAAGGAAGAAGCACCGAGACCTAGCCGGCCAAGGCACCATTATGACCCGGTCGTCCGTATGGTCAATACAGAAGAATGCCAAGAGATCGGAAAAGCACCGGTCATTCCTCCGAAAAACCCTACCGGTCAAGCAGGACGACAATGGTCGGGCACCTATTATTTGTACCACAGGTCAGATTCCCATAACACTTCCGAATGTAAAAGTGTTAAGGGAGTAATCCGGCAGATGATTGACAGTGGAGAGCTAGGCAAGGATTACTTGCAAAAAGCCTAGGAGAAGAGTCATCAAAGGGTTAGGCCAGCGGCCTAGGGAAATGGCCGGGAAAACGACAGGCGGAGGAACAACCGGCCAAGGGAGCAGCAACCTGCCCCCTGAAAAGGAGCATATTGGGATGATTTTCGGCGGACCTGAAGGTGGAGATTCAGCCGCGCAACGGAAGAATTGGGTCCGCAGCATTTACGTTGGTGAAGTAAGTGCTGAACCGGCCAGGAGGGAACCGATCGTCTTTACTGACCGGGACCTCCCCCTACCGGTGAAGATCATAATGATTCTTCGGTTATTACCATGGACATTAATAGGGTGGATGTTGCCCGGGTACTTGTTGACACCGACAGAAGTGTCAACATCTTGTACCTGGAAACTTTCCAAAAACTCAGGTTGTGTCGGACACAACTTGATACTCTGAAGACTCCTCTCTCAGGCTTCACGGGAGATACAGTGGAGGCTGAAGGGTCCATAGTTCTACCGGTCGAACTAGGATCGGGTGAAAAAATCGTATAGAAGAAGATGCGGTTCATAGTTGTGGACATCAAATGCGTCCACAACGCAATCCTTGGAAGACCGGGCATCAATAAGGTCGGGGCGGTGATTTCCATGCCGCACCTGTGCATGAAGTTCCACACTCCAGGTGGTGTGGGTGAAGTGAAGGGCGACCAGAAAAACGCCCGGGAGTGCTATGCCCGGGCAGTCAAGAAGATGACCAAGGGGGTCAATGTCATCTCCTAAGAGATCACAAAGGGAGAGACCCGGGAGAATTTGAACCTGAGGCCGAGACGGTGGAGATTGAACTTGACCCGGGTGATTCTTCCAGGATGGTCAGAATTGAAGCAAATCTCCCGGAAGATCTCAAGGCAGAGATTACATGGGTCCTCCAAGAATACGCGGGCATATTCACATGGAGCGTGGCGGATATGCCCGGAATAGATCGCTCTGTTATTTGTCACCGGTTGGACGTGATGGAGGGAAGTCGACCGGTACGCCAGAAGAAGCGGTACCTGGCCAGTGACCGGCGAGACTTCGTCAGGAAGGAGGTGAAGGACCTCCTCAGTGTTGGTCACATCCGGGAAGTCAAATACCCGGATTGGCTGGCCAACGTTGTCCTTGCTCCCAAAGGCGACACGTGGAGAATGTGTGTGGATTACACGGACTTGAACAAGGCTTGTCCGATGGATTCATACCCCCTTCCTAGTCCAGATCAAATGGTGGACGAAACTGCGGGTTGCGAACTCCTAAGTTTCATGGATGCCTTTAAGGGTTACCACCAAATCTACATGGCCAAGGAAGATGAAGAGAAGACGTCATTTCTCACGCCCAAAGGAACCTACTGTTACCGGGTGATGGTGTTTGGCTTGAAGAACTTAAGAGCAACCTACCAGCGCATGATGAGCAAACTCTTCAAGCCACTGTTGGGAAAGACCATGGAGGCATACGTCGACGACATGCTGATCAAAAGCCAGGTATCTCTCAACCACCCGGCTGATATGCGTGCCACGTTTGATATCATGGCGAGATACAACCTCCGATTGAATCCTAAGAAATGCGTCTTCGCGGTTCGCACCGGGAAGTTCCTGGGATTCATGGTGACCAAGAGAGGAATAGAGCCCAACCCGGAAAAAATCCGGGCTATCACCGAGATGTAAGCCCCTACCTCGGTTAGGGATGTGCAAAAGTTGACCGGTCGTCTAGCGGCACTCAGCCATTTCCTGTCCCGGTCAGCTGAGAGATCCTTGCCTTTCTTCAAAGTCCTGAAGAAGGCCAACACATTCGCATGGGATGAAGACTGCCAGAGGGCATTTGAGGAGCTGAAAGAGTACCTAGTGTCAGATATTGTGTTGTCTAAACCTAAACCGGGTGAAACTTTGTATCTGTATCCCCAAATGCTGTAAGCTCCATTTTAATAAGAGATGATGGGGCACAAAAGCCCATTTATTATGTGAGCAAAGCACTAAACGGAGCTGAGAGTAGATATATGGCGATGGAGAAGACTGCCTATGCGCTTTTCATCTCCGCAAAAAAATTAACATCCTACTTCCAAGCTCACCCAGTGGAAGTCTTGACTGACCAACCGCTGGGTGCAGTGTTGCAAAATTCAACATCCTCCGGGAGGATGGTGAAGTGGGCAATGATGTTAACTCAATTCAACATTGAGTACCGGACAAGGTCAGCAATCAAGGGACAAGCCCTTGCAGACTTCCTGGTAGAAATGACCGGTCTAACTCCAGACCTACCGGTCAACAAACCCGCTGAGCAATGGTGGGAGATGGCAGTTGATGGGGCGTCCGGTCCTAGAGGATACGGGGGTGGTATCGTGTTCACCACCCAGAAGGATTCAAGATCTACCATGCAATCGTCTTCAACTTCAAGCTGACGAACAATGAGGCAGAATATGAAGCTCTGGCTGGAGGGCTCAGACTTGCCTAAGCCCTGAAAATCAGCCGGGTCAGTATCAAATCTGACTCTAGCCTGATTGTTGGGCAAGTGACCGGTAACATGGAAGCAAGAGAAGGACGAATGGCACAATACAAGGACCTAGTGCTTGCCCTGTTGAAAGGCTTCGAAGAGTTCAAGATTGCCCAAATACCCCGGGCAGAGAACGCGGATGCAGACCTTCTTTCTAAATTGACGCAGTATGCCCCCGAGCATGTTTCAAAACTTGCCCGGTGGAAATCCTAGACCATGCCAGCATTGAGAAACTGGAAGTCGCCGCCATAACAGCAGCAGGCCAATCTGACCGGTCAAACCTGGTCGAGGCGGATGACCATTGGATGTACGATCTAATGGAATACTTGATGGATGGAAGCTTGCCAGAACAAGATGACCGGGCAAGAAAAGTGAAGCTCAGGGCACCCCGATTCCAGGTTCTTGATGGAAATCTATATAAAAGGGCATTTGGGGGGCCACTCCTGAGATGTCTAACCAACCGGGAGGCTGAGCAAGTCATAGCGGAGGTCCACGAAGGCGTATGCGCGGCGCATCAAATGTCCCATACGCTTTCCCAACGCATCATCCTATTGGGGTATTACTGGCCAACAATTGTCCAGGATTGTGAGAGGTACGTTCAGAATTGCAGGACGTGTCAAGTATTCTACAAGTACCCTGGTAGACCGGCGACCTACTATCATCCCGTATCGAATGTCATCCCATTCGCTAGGTTTGAGGTTGATATCATTGGAGCGTTCCCAGTCGCCCAAGGAGGGAAGAAGTTCGTAATCGTAGCCATCGATTACTTCACCAAATGGATCGAGGCCGAAGCGTTGGCCAACATTACCATGCAACAATGCAAGAAATTCATTTGAAAGAAAATCATCACAAGATTTGGGGCTCCCATGAACCTAATCACCGACAACAGCCCACAATTCCAAAATCCAAGATTCACCGAATACTTAGAGGGCTTCGGAATCAAGCACAATCGCTCTTCGGTGGCGTACCCTCAAGGAAATGGCCAAGTCGAAAACGCCAACTGAACAATTGTGGATGGTCTAAAGAAGCGGCTGCGAGAAGCAGGAAACAAGTGGCTAGAAGAGCTCCTGCACATCATATGGGCATTCCGAGTAACACCCAGGAGGGCTCATGGGGAAACTCCATTCTCCCTAACGTATGGGTGTGAAGCAAGGCTGCCCATCGAAGCCGAATTCCCAACGTTTCGAGAATCGAATTATCAACCCCAACAAAATGAAGAAGACCATCTAGCCGAGCTCAACTTGGTCGAGGAACGAAGGATAGCGGCAAAGGTGAAAATAAGTACATACCAACAAGTTGTGAAAAAGTACCATGACAACAAGGTTGGACCGCGATACTTCCAAGTTGGAGATGAAGTCCTATGAAAAAGAGAGGCTAGTAGACCGGGTGATGGAGGAAAGCTGGCCAAGAACTGGGAAGGACCTTACCGGGTGAGAGCTATTATTCGCCCGGGAACCTACCGGTTAGAAACTCTAGAGGGACACTCGGTAGAAAGAACTTGGAATTCCCATCATCTTCGCAAATTCTACAAGTGATTGTAATACTAGGCAAGACCTACTTCTATTATCAATCAAACTGAGGAAGTTCAATACTCTACCTGGTAGCGGCAGAAGTGATAGGTCGAACCTATCCGAGGAGGGCTTCCCGGGTGGATCGAATCCACTTGGATAAGCCAACTGAGACACAGGCCCGGACCTGGCACGCTGGTTACTACACCGGTCTTGCTCAGTATAATAGAAAAAATAATAAAACCCGGAAGAGGGGTATGCCTGCAAGAGGGCTAGACCTGGAAGAAGGTTCGAACCGTACTTATACGGGCCCATGAGGTTTGACCCGTATCGGGGAATCAGCCGGTACCATCAAATTGATTGGGACTAAAAGATGCCCATTAAAAGAAATAGAAAGGGATCGTCCACCGCGGCGCATCCTATTCCGACCTGTTCGGATTCCCCCTTCTCTAGGAAGACTTGAACGAGGGGTGAGCTAAGGCCTTCCCGGGATGGTAGAAAGTAAAGGGCCATTAAAAGACTTAATCACCCGGAAGAGGGGGCCCAGGAAAAAGGGTGTATTTGGACCTTGGAGAGGGTTCGAAACCATTCGACATGGTTAAATCTCCAGTATTCTTACCGGTTAAGAATACTTCAAGAAATTACTAGGTTACAGGTGCTTCTATCTACAACCTACCAGTGAAAAAAAAGAGAGAATACCCCGGTTGGGTATTGATACAACGGAAATTCAAAAGTTCTACCACGCAAAGCAGTTGACCAGTCAAACCATGGAGTGGGAATCCACCGGTCAAACTGAACTTTGTCGAAGAATTCATGAAGCTATCCAAAAAGCCAAAAGGAAGTTCAGCCGGTCAAGCTTTTTCAAGTTGGCCATCAAAGATGAAGACATTCAAAAGTGAAAGTTGGAGTTCCACCGGTCTATTTCGATTACAGGCCAAAGAATCAAAGTTTAACTAGTCAGAGTTGTTACGAAGGCATTCTAAGTAGCAAAATAAAAATATCGATCGAGAAGCAAGATTAACCGGTATGGAAATTAAACATGGCATTCAAATGAAATAAGAATGTTAAATGTCTACAGATACACCGGGCATACCCGGGGAAATTGATAAGGTTTCAAGTTTACAAGACAACCGGTCCGAACCGGGGAGCTTAATCTAGGGGGAAGGGGGGAGTAGGCTCTTCCTCTGGGATGAGAGCCAGGCCGTAGGAATCCGCGGCGAAAGCCGGGTCTCTCTTCAAGAGGATCCGGTGAGAGGCTGCCAGGTCTTTCTTTTGGCTGCTTTTGAATCCGAAGGACCCAATTGCAGTTATCATCTTCTTTCCTTCAGGCTCCCGGTATAGAAGCCTGAAGGATTCCATAGTAGCTTCCAGGCTCACCGTCATCACCCGGGCGGCTTCGGCCTTATTTTCTTCTACCCAGGCAGCCGCGCGCCCGGGGAAGGTTTCTTCCTTCTCCGCCACCTCCCTCTTGGCTTCAGACACCTCGTCCATCAGCCGACCATTCTCTTCCTTGAGATGGGAGATCTCCGCCTTCATAGACCCGGTCAGCCCGGATAGCCTGGTCAGCTCATCAGCTTGGCTCTTCAGGATGAGAGCCATCTCCTCTTTCTCCTTCTTCAGCCGGGCAAATTCCGAAGGAGAGCCTAACCCCAGCCGGTCAGCTGTGAGGGGTCCAATTTCTCCAACCTGCATCATGCACGAACCAACTGGTTAGACTTCCATAAAAGGTAGGGATCGAACTTACCGGGAAGGGAATTCAACTTACCTCCATTAGCCTCAACCCAAGGTTGATGAAGGCTTCTTTGACAGACTGTGAGCCCGTGTCAGAGTCAGCCCGCTGCCTCTTCTTGCCAATGGAAGGGTGGGTAGTGGCCACCTTCTTCGTCCGGCGACCGGCCTTTTCCTTCCCCTTAGACCGGTTGTCTTGGGGTTCGTCTTCATCGAAGATTTCCACGGTCTCTTGGTTGACCGGGAAGGTTTTGGCAGGGTTAGCTTGGGAGCCCCCGGTCTCTCCCGCTGGTTGGTCATCGGGGATGGCGAACTCCTCGAACTCCATATCTGCAAAAGAAGCTAAAATCGTTAAGTACAAGAAACGACACCGGTCAAGAACAAATCACAAGAAGAATGAAAAATAGCTAGGTGGTTCTGGCCCTCAGCCTCTGTAGTGTTGCCCCGAGAGGGTACCCCGCGCCCCGCTGCTTCATGGGCCTGGGAGGTACCCTCACCACTCGACTCAACCCTCCAAACCCAGCTGCCATAATGGAAGATCCTCCCGGTGAAGGGATCTCCACGCATGAGGATCTCAAGATTCGCTTCCAAGTCAGGGGAGGAAGCCGGTGTAGCGTACTCTTGATTGAGAAGATTGTCGTTCCATTTCAGACCGGCCAAAGGAGTGGCGAAGGGGGGAAGCTCGATGAAAACAAATTTTTCCTTCCATCCCCAGTTACTCTGGGGGACTTCGGAAATAAATTTCCTACCGGTACGGCCTTTGAAGTATACGAAACCTTCGCAGCCGGTTCCGCCCGGTAGGACTTCGAAACAAAAAAGGAAAAAACGCAGGGAAGGATCTATTTTGAGGTGGGAACAAATATTTACAAAGGAATGAAGATACCGGTGGGCGTTAGGGGTTATTTGGCCGGGCAAAATCCTAAACGCATGGCAGACTTCAGTAAGGAGGGGGCGAAGGGGAAAAACGATGCCCGCGTCCAATGATATGGTGTGGAACCCTATCCGATCCTCCCGGTGGGGTTCAACAATGTTGGGCCAGTCATGTTCATACAAAAGGGTATACCCATCCGGGAGCCTCCTACGGATTTTATTCAAAGCGATTTTGGATACATGGGAAGGAATGTCAAGGACGTAGAAGGTGGGGAGCGGAAAGTAACCGGCGGCATGAAGTCGCTCCTCCCACGCGTCCCAGGTTTCGTTTTCAAGGTCATAGGGACCCGGTTCGTCATCAACCGGCTCATCCCTCCCCATAAAAACCTCACCGGGCATTTGATTAACAGGTTGCGGGTCGGGGACAGAGGGGTTAGGAGTTTGACCGGGCGTGGAGTCAGGAGAAGAGGACCCGTTCGAAGAAGATGAGTTGGAGTCCTCAGAGGACGAAATCCTATGGCTACCTAAAGAAGACATGACCGGGAAACTAATTAGAGAAGGAAGGGGAAACTTACTTGACTCGGAGGGCTGGATAGGGAAAGAGAGGAACTTGACCGCTGAGAGCTCTGAGACTTGAATTGCGGAAAGTGAACAAAGAAGAGGGGTGGAGGTCTTTATATAGGAGGAAGAGGGATGAAAGGAGCGACGTGGCAGCTTGAGAACGCGCCGCGTAAGGCGGCGCAATGATGATACTTTGGCAGGTGAAGCGACGGGTGGGCATCCTACCGTTGCAGCAGCGGGTGTCCAATACGTGTCAAAATTCAGAGTTTTCAAATTCAAATTTTGAAATTTTCGGGTGGGAAAAGCCTGAAATTCGAATTTGAGGTCCCGTTTCAGATTTTTTAATTCCCGCTCATGACAAATTGCATGACCGAGAAGTGGAGGGCTTATTGATGGGTGTATTCCACCCACGATCGGTCAAAGGAGAAGACCAATTAGTTGACCGGTCGATCTCGAGAGTTTTGGAAGGGAGACTTAAATCATCAGCAATGAGTTATTCTCTCTCCAAATAACCAATGGACAATGGTTTATGAATTTTTAGTCTGGTCGACTCCATTGATCGACTAAAATAGGTGTCGACCAACTGGTCGCACTAATTGCATATCTTTCCATATGAAATTCGTTGACATTATATGCCGTTAAATAGGTTCCGGCGATAAAGACGAAGGTAAATTCAAAGGACTTTCTACATATGAAGCTGACTGTGAAGTCTTCACTGAAGACTTCCAAAAATTGATGAAATAAAAGTTGTGCGATCATATGGAAATCCTAGAAGTGTTTAGAAGAGATTCTCCTTTTGGTGCTTTCCTTGATGTCCAACTTGTTCCCCCTCCAGCCATGTTATGGCAGTTGATGGTTAGGGAGACTAATGTGGAAGGAGCAAAAGGTTCTGAAATGTGGTTTGTAGTAAATGGAGTTCCCATTAGATACTCTCTAATGGAATTTTCCTTGATTACTGGACTCAAATGTTCACAACTAGCTCCCGGATACGAAGAGCAGTATGATAAGGATTCACTGCCTGTTTTCGTTAAAGAAAACTGGTCAAAGGGTGTGGTATGTTACACTTCAGTTGTCGAGAGGTTCTCAAAATTGTGCCAGCTACTTGACGATGAAGGGAAGAAAGAGTATGCACTCTAGTGGATAGTGAAGGTGGCGACATTGATGTTTGTTGTCCTCGTTTTAATTGGTCATGCTAAGAAAGATGCCCCAGTTCCGAAATCGATCCTTGCCACTGTTGCAAACTCTGATGATTCCATGTCTTTCCCATGGGGGACATGGGCATTCCTGGAGTCCCTCCGTATCCAATCTTTGGGGAAGGACGTAGTTTCAGAAAAAAAGAAGCTTGTCAAAGGCGGGAAAACATCAAACACCCTCCGATACACTAGCTTTCTCCTCCCCTCATCCGTGAGTAAATTAATTTAAATTGATACTAAAAGTTTCTATAATTTCATTGGCTAAATTGCGCTTCATTTATTGCTGAATGCAGTTTCTCCTATTTGAGTGCATTAATGATTTTGGAGAGACATTTGGAGTGAAGATGGAGCAAACAAAGCCAGCACTTCCGAGAATGTGTCTCTGGAAAAATAAAATTTCAAAAAACCCGTCGCACGAAGCCATAATCAATGCACTAAACGCTACCAAGGTAAGGTCTAAACTTTAAAGTACAAGGTCGACTTAAGGTGAAAGTCGACTTAATGATCTTTAAAGTGAAGGTCGACTTAAGGTGTCTCTAAAGTGAAGGTCGACTTCATGATCTACAATCATTTTTTAAATATGCTCTTTCTTTTGTAGAGTGTTAGGAGCATTCTTCTTCCAGAAGGAAGTGAAATACGTGCCCATTGGATCACCAGTCTGACCTCCTTGCATTCTGTTTCCAATCCAACTCTTGGAGAATTCATAAGGGGAATCCAAGGTGTGACAAGCATATTCAATTATGCATGAAAAAACAACTTCTGTCCCAAGCAAGTGAAGATGAAGTTGTTGTAGGAAGGAATTCATCATCAGATGAAGTTCACTCTTCAAGTGAGGGGTCAGAAGTCCCCTCCAAAAAGTATGTACTTAGGAAGAGAAAAGTATCAAAGCCGTGCACCCCACATGGAAAGGCTGAGCACAGACCTATGTTGGAAACGCAGAGCCCTCTGTTGGAAAGAACAACCAATATCAAGGCTTCATCTTTTAGTGGAAATTCAAGTCAAAACTTGCCTGATTCACTGAAAGATTACATTGATGGTAAATTTTCTGAGCTTCAAAAGACGCTATGTCAGGAGGTTGAAAATTTCTTGGAAAGAAAATTTCAGACACTAGAAGAAAGAATTCTCTTAACCTTACTTGACACCTCAAAGGGAAGGACTGACGAAGCGAAGGAAGACGATGGGAAGAAAGAAGAGCCGGTGGAAGTGAATGAGGTCGACCACTCTATATTTGAAGGGGTGGACCATAATGAAGAGGATGAAATAAAAGATGGGAAGGAAGAAGATGAGAAGGTCGAAGATCCAGTGGAAGTGAATATGGCCGTTCCCCATTGTTGTGAATGGGTGGACCATAATGAAGAGGCTATTAAAGACGGGAAAGAAGAAGAGCCGATGGGAGTGAATATGGTCGACCCCTATAGTTTTGAAAGGGTTGACCATAATGAAGAGGATGAAATAAAGGATGGGAAGGAAGAAGATGAGAAGGTCGAAGATCCGGTGGAAGTGAATATGGTCGACCCCCCTTGTTTTGAATGGGTGGACCATAATGAAGAGGCTATTAAAGATGGGAAGGAAGAAGAGCCGGTGGGAGTGAATATTGTCGACTCCTATAGTTTTGAAGGGGTTAACCATAATGAAGTGGAAAAAAAAGATGGGAAAGAAGAAGATGGGAAGGAAGAAGTTGGGAAGGAAGGAGATGGGAAGGAAGAAGATGAGCCCATTGCAGTCAATATGGTCAAGCTCTCCAGTTTTGAAGGAATTCCTGAAGAGAAAGAGGAAGAAGAGGGTGACCAATTTAAAGTAAAGAATAGGAGTCCACCAATCCAGGTAACTTGGTCAACCCCATTCGTCGATATTTTTTTTCTTTGAATTTATGGTCGCCTGAGTATGTTCTTATGTTTTGAACCTTTTGTAAAGCATTATGTTTCCAATTGTCAGCAAGAAGAAGAGGAAAAGTTTGAAGTTGAGGGAGAGGCCAATGAAGATGAGATGGCAATGAGTGATAAAATTGTCCATGATGTTGTTGAATTCTGCAAATCAACTGAAAACAATGTTGATGAGGTAATAAACTTATATTCTGATATTTTCATTTGTGATCCTGCCTAATGCTTATTCCTTAAAAATTCTGAGTAGAAACTTGAGTCCGATGGTGACGTCTTGAGAGAATTGACAAATGTGGATGAAGTCGCTGCTGCACGGGTACGGTTTAATTTGAGTATTATTGAATTAAACTTACTTTTCCTTGACATATTACTTTTAACATCCAGGAATTGGGTCGAGGCCTCCGGGAGAAGAAACGAAGTATTCATATATCGGGCCCCTACTTAGGGGTCTTCGCCAATGTACATAAAAAGGTAAAGGTTATTAATAGTAATGTATCAAATGAGCTGGATTAAGCCGAAGAAGAGCAACTCAACATACGAAGGAACCCATCTAGCCAACAACTTGAGGCCTTCCATCAATTCATGCAGTCGGCAATTGCTGATGGGAGAGAAGTTCAGTGTATCATGGAAAAGAGGGAAGAGTCCCACGACATTGTTAAGAAGTGGTGGAGTTCCTTGATCAAGGCCGGCGGCTGGTTGGAGACCTCGGTAATATAAGTTAATATTAGTATTACTCCGTATATATTTATATCTTAGTATTATAAATTTAACAAGTTATTTTTATTTTATACGCAGCATATGGAAGAAATCGTGATATACTTCATGAAAATGTATAACAAGAAAGATAGCACATATGCCGTCCTCCTAGAGAGCTTTCAAATGTTAAGTGAGGTCAATGCCACTACTGAACTATTTCCAATGCTGGACACCGGCCTCATGGAAATAGTTCTTGGTAGATGGGACTCATGCTCTAAACCGTGGAAGGATATTTCATGTGTTTATTGGGTTCATAACACAAAGGATCATTGGGTCGCCATAAGAGCTGAATTCGATAGAAAGTGTCTGGTGGTGTTTGACTCCCTACAACAAATTACAAGCATGAGTAAACTTGAAGAAGTACAGTAAAAAATTCTCAAAGTTTTTCTTGTGATGTGCGAATACGCATCAAATTATCTTCAAGGTATTCCTGGCGACCACAGAGACATGAGCGCGAAATGGAGTGTTGAACGTCCTTTGGTGCCGCAACAGACAAATTCAGACTGTGGGGTGTTTGCTTTGAAGTTCATTGAGCTTGGTGTTCAAAATTTGCAACCTTCGGTCATTAGCGGATTCAGTGAACTTGACATTGTCCAATTGAGAACTTCATACGCATATGTAATATGTAGAGAGAACTTTTAAAACTCGTAAATACAAATATTGTGCTATTGTATTTAAATGTGTCTTTGTGTGAAAACTAACCCATGAAACATTGAAAATTTAAGGCCACATACTATAATAGTCAACCTCTACCATATTCAAGCTCTTTCATAATCATACACAAAGGTTGACCTTAATTTGAAAAGAATCACTTTAACGTTTAAAATTTAGGGCAACATTGACGTAAAGTCGACCAACCATATTACACAAGTAGTCGACCTACCATATTCATGAAAAAGTAAACCACTTCCATATTTAATTCATACTCCGTATTCTGTAAAAGTCAACCACTACCATATTCAAACTATTCCATAGTCATACACAAAGGTTGAAATTAATTGAAAAGAATCAATTTAACGTTTAATATTTAAAGCCACATTCACGGAAAGTCGACCTACCATATTCATACATGAGAAGTCGACCTACCATATTCATGCAAGAGTCGACCTCTTCCATTTTTAATTCATATTCAGGATCAGTTGTGGACCTTTTTCCAAAAATGAAGTTAAAAATTAGATCTTCTCTCATGGAGTATCGAAATATCATAAAGGATGGATGAGCAGACAAAAATAGTTCATTAAAATAAAAATATTAAGGAGTACATATTATTTTTCGGTGGCAATATTAATATTCCACCGCAAGCCCATTTTCACCAAAAACTTTGATAAAATAATCAAAGTCCGCTACAAAATGAAAATGAAGAATTTGAGTCTCCTCCAGATTATAGGCCTCAACAATTCTAGCCCAGCCGTCACCAAAAAAGAGGTTTCCTTGCTCACATACTTCAATTTTCACTTCAACAGGGTCTGGGGAAAGAGGGCCAGAAATCCTGATGACATCGCCATCAACGTACCTTGGACCACCGGCAATCATATTAACGTATTCTGGGATCCTCTGAATCAGTAAAAGATTGAGTGAATTAGACATAACATAATTTAAAAGCTAGTAAAAGAAACACAAGAAAATGAATGAAATCTCAAACCAATCTTTCTCTGAAACCGGGATCACTGGAGAGGATAACACCAAAACTGCACATTTTGCAGATCTTTACAAATGGATGAGAATGAACTTTGATAGGGATGAAACCCTAGCCGGTCATTCTCATAATTATAGTATCCAGCCCATAAATGAAACGACGGATAAACATAGGCGTCGTTTCCTAATTATTTGTTTAAATAATACTAACTGATACCAAATATAAAACGACGCCGTCAAATATGAAAACAATGCTTATCAATATGTCGAAATTAATATTGTCGACATTATAATAGGTCGACATTTAATAGGTCGACATAATGAAAATTCGCATGCATTAATTACAAAGCTGCACAATTCCCAAAACCTTGACGGAAATATCATCGTTTCCCAAAACGTCGACGGATAAACATAGGCGTCATTTCCTAATTACGTACAGTATTTAACTCGTTTTGTAATTTAAAAATTGAGGAAAGTTTGAAACGACGCATCGTTTCCTAATTACGTATTTAACTCGTTGTGTAATTTAGAAAATACTAACGGATATAGAATATTAAATTAGTATTTGTTTAAAATAATACTTACCGATACCAAATATAAAACGACGCTGTCAAGTATGAAAACAATGCTTATTAATATGTCGACATATTTAAAAAATAACATTCAGCATTAACATTTTAATTTTGTACAAGGACCATTATCAGCATTAACTTTAATAATAATAATAAAAACAATAATAATAATAATAATAATAATAATAATAATAATAATAATAATAATACGGAGTAATAATGTCGACATTAGAATAGGTCGACATTTAAAAAATGTCGAGATTATATTTAAAAGCATGCAGGGAGAACTTTTAAAACTCCTAAATATAAATCTTGTGCTATTATATTTAAATGTGTCTTTGTGTGAAAACTAACCCATTAAGCATTGAGAAATTAAGGCCACATTTTTTAAAGTCGACCTACCATATTCATGCAAGAGTCAACCTCTTCCATTTTTATGTCATATTCAGGATCAGTTGTGGACCTTTTTCTATGAATGAAGTTAACAATTAGATCTTCTCACATGGAGTATCAAAATATCATAAAGGATGGATGAGCAGACGGAAATAGTTCATTAAAATAAAAATATTAGGGAGTACATATTATTCTTCGATGGCAATATTAGTATTCCACCGCACGCCCATTTTCACCAAAAATTTGATAGAAAAATCAAAGTCCGTTACATAATGAAAATGAAGAATATGAATCTCCTGCAGATTATAGGCCTCAACTATTCTAGCCCAGCCCTCCCCAAAAAAGAGGTTTCCTTGCTCACATACTTCAATTTTCACTTCAATAGGGTCTGCGGAAAGAGGGCCAAAAATCCTGATGACATCGCCATCAGCGTAGCTTGGACCACCGGCAATCTTATTAACGTATTCTGGGATCCTCTTAATCAGTAAAAGATTGAGTGAATTAGACATAACATAATTTAAAAGCAAGTAAAAGAAACACAAGAAAATGAATGAAATCTCAAACCAATCTTTCTCTGAAACTGGGATCACTGGAGAGGATAGCACCAAAACTGCACATTTTGCAGATCTTTACAAATGGATGAGAATGAACTTTGATAGGGATGAAACCCTAGCCGGTGATTCTCATATTTATAGTATCCAGCCTATAAATGAAACGACGGATAAACATAGGCGTCGTTTCCTAATTACGTACAGTATTTAACTCGTTTTGTAAATTGTAAACTGAGAAAAGTTTAAATCGACGCATCGTTTCCTAATTATGTATATAACTCGTTTTGTAATTTAAAAAATACTAACGGATATGGAATATTAAATTAGTATTTGTTTAAAATAATACTTACCGATACCAAATATATGTCGACATTGTAATAGGTCGACATTTAATAGGTCGACATAATGAAAATTTGCATGCATTACTTACAAAGCTGCACAATTCCTAAAACCTTGACGGAAATATCAACGTTGCTTCGGCCTATATAAAAATGTCGACATTGTAATATAAAATGACCATGGAAACGTTGTTTTATAGTAGGTTGACCATATATGTCGACATGCTAGTAGGTCGACATATTTAAAAAATCACATTCAGCATTAAAATTTTAATTTTGTACAAGGACCATTATCAGCATTAACTTTAATAATAATAATAAAAACAATAATAATAATAATAATAATAATAATAATAATAATAATAATAATAATAATAATAATATGGAGTAATAATAATTTAATAAGTACCCCAGAGTACTATATGCTTACTGTTGGGAAAAATATCATAGATTTTGATGATGATGTATTTAGAATGTAATAGGGACTTTAGGTCTCCCCAGATATTCAATGTAATTTTTCCTTTTAGAAATATTGTTAAAACCAAGTTCTTGAGATTTCCAATAAAGTTGTGATATTTCTTTAAACGGTTTGATGCCTGAAGACTTAATCAAATTCAGAAATTTGGAAATTGGATATCTTGATTGGAAATGTCGGAGACAAGTAAGGATTTCTCAAAGCAGACAAAAATCCTCCTATCCGGAATATTACATGAGAACCGGATGTCTCGTTACAACCCGCTGAAGGCTAAGTCGGAAGACTAGCGTGGATTTCTTTCTCATCTGGAAGACTGAGTATGACTCTTCCGGATTTGTCAGCTAAGAACCGGATGCCTCAAGAAAGACCGGAATTCTCAAAAAGCGGACAAGTGAGAAAAGACTTATAAAATTATCTAAGTCTTGAATGAAGAAATTCTACCGTTGGTAAGGAAAAACTCAATCTCTTGATTTTCAACGGCTAGATTGAAGATAATTATGCTGATTCAAGAACAAATGACTCGAAGACAAAGTCTGGACATCTAAAAATTGAAGAACCTGTCTAGAATTCCTAAACAAGCACTAGAAGACAAATAGAGTAAAGTGCTACAGTTCAGAATTCTTGAACAACAACTAGAAGACGGATTCTATGGAAAAAGGAATCCCTCCTTTTACAATTGGGTATGTCCAAACACCCATTCCAATGAGGAATCTTAAAATCACAATCTTCATTCAAAATTGAAGCCAGCAAATGCAACGGATAGTCTATTTTGACTCAACGGATAGATTATCCAATCCAGCTATAAAATAGCATCCTTGGAAGACTGGGAAAGTAGAGAACAACGACAACAATAAGATAAACAACCACAAAGAGGCTACCTCATTCACAGTTAGCCCAAAAAGCTTGATAAAGAGAGATTTCTAAACTCCTTATCCAGAAGCAAACTTCTCCTCCTTCCAAAGAGCTATAGTGTAAATACTTGCAGGTTTCCTTGCCTCAAGTACCACACCACGTTGAAGGATACAACTTTTGATCAAACTTACTGATTGAAAGGGGGTAGGTCAACTTTCTTACAAGTTGGTCTTGCAAGTCCTATTGTTCGGACCTTGCAGTTGTTGAAGAAGCGTGACCTTCGAAGGAACAACAAAGCCAGCCCGAGTGCAGTAGCAACATTGGCCTTGCGAAGATATACCGTGCAGAAATTCACACAAGTGTAATTGTTGGTTCATTATTCAATGACCAACTACATAGTGGATTTTGAGGACGTAGAAGGATTACCCCACCTTCGAACCTCGTTAAAGTTTGCGTGTCTCTCTCTTTTATCTTTATTTTTACTTGCAATTATATTAACTGTGAAAACTAACCCATCCATATTGATTATTGCTCACTCTACCCACCAACTTCCGCACATAATCTAAAGTTCACAAGAACTCTAGATTAACACTCATTTTCACGTTTTCAAAAGAAACGAAAAAGTTTTTAAATTTGTAACAAAGTCTATTCACCCCCCCCCCCTCTAGACTTTGTATCTCACCACTTCGGGACCACCACTTACTTTTTCTTTTCCTATTCACATGCAGCATAAAGTTCAAATTCACACATTTCCCAAACTTTGACCAAGT